AGGTCCTTGTCGACACTCTTCTGCTCCCCCCCCCCCTATCCCCGCTTTTAAAATTCCTGATACTGGACTGAGATTTCTCCGTCCTACAAAACATGCTCGCCCTTTCAGCCGTGGAGGCGTTATAATATCACGATAAATCCCACTATTCGTTGGTAAAAGAGTAGCCCAAGAGTTGATTGTGGGTGGTGTTGACTAGCTGCATTCTCTCTAGCCAGTCTCCCAGTGGCACAGCGGTATGTCTGCGGACTTGCAATGCTAGAAACCAGGTTTCGATACCCGTGGTGAGCAGAGCACAGATAGCCCATTGTGTAGCTTTAGGCTTAAGTTCAAACAAACAAACAAACCCTCTAGCCTATCACTGCTAAATTAGGGACGGCTAGCGGAGATAGCCCTCGTGTAGCTTTGCGCGAAAATAAACATAAACCAAACCAAACTTTTAAAACTTAAAAGAAATAATGTTCTTAGGTTGCTTTCAGTATACCTTTTTGTTAGTATACTTGGACGTAAAGCCTTTTAATTCTTTTTTCAAATTTCGTAAACTATTCGAGAAACAAACAAACTAATATGAAATACTAGTAATAAAATAATGAAACATGCATAGAAAGATATGTAAACCTTTATTTATTTGTAGAAATTATCATTCGTGACCAAATTAGATTCGAAAGAGATAACATAATTTGAAATCACGTGAATGAAAGCCGGAGTCTGACAGAACTTCTATTTAAGACGAGAGTGAATAAGTAGCCGGAATTAAACCTCCTCTATAACCGTACATATAATATTTAAAGCAACGTTTACAAATAAATATAAACTATTTGAGTGTCAGACACATTACGTTTTCGCAAAATGAATTGCACGTGGTTTTAACATTTTCAACCCACGTGTTTCCGTATGGGCATAATTCCGGGAAACTATAAAGTTGTTGTACTCATTTATTTTTACGTCTCTTTCCTTGTTTTCCTGCCTCATTAGAAGCAACCTCCTCCCTACAACTGGCTGAATATGATGAATGATAATTCTTAGACATAGGATGTTATGGGCATAATTACGCATACCTGCTTCTAAATTATTTTGGTTACAATTTCATTTTACATATGAGGCTTGCAAAGAATGGTTGAATCTGTTAGAGGGTGTATCTCCACCGCTTTATGTATCCTACTGTCATGGATATCTCTTACCAAAGCACACTTTAGCTTTTTTACACTGTATCCACGTTTCTTATTTTCCATCATGTGCGATGCTAAGCCTAGTTACCCGGATATTTTTAAAGCATCCGAAGTAAGGTCACGTTGTTACGCTCTCTTTTCTTTCGATAATAAAATTTATATTCTTATAATAACAATCTGAATATATGAATTTTCTCATATAGCTTACGTTAATCGAGAAAACCTTAACACTCAGAATATATCGTATATTTATCGTATATATATATATTTCCAGTAATTTTCAACATGATATGTTTGGTATTCATGCATTAGAGGTACGCCATCACCACAAAGTAAGGATTGTAGCATTAGTGTAAGGAATTTCTGTGTCTCAGTAAAGTGCGTCAGAACATGATCAATAAGCAGGCGTAGCTTAGAAGTCAATTAGTGCGCGAGGTTGAAGAGATAAAAGACACTAGCATAGCGTCTATTGAGAACCTTTGACTGGTTATCAGTAGAAAATAGAGATAGTGAAGAAATGCATGATAGGAGATTAGGAATAAGACCAAGTGATAATTGGATGCATTGGATACCTGGAGACCTCATCTAATTCATCACAATCAGCAGCTTGCTGTTAAACTTTAGATACCAGAAACTGTATTCTTAAGCCGAGACTGGACCAAACTGATAATCCAAGGAAATACTAATAAAAAAACTGTGCTTTGATAAAGGGAGATTACTATGTTAATTCTATATAAAATAGGTATAATTTTCAGTAAATACATTTGTGCCATTTAGCATTTTGTCAAATACGGCATAGTGAATTCATATTTCGTAGTTGACAAAGAAATATTTATTACTAGTTGGTTATGAAGTTGTTTGTAAATAAAGCTAGTTTAAAACATCACCAGTAAAACTGTATTCCATTCGAAACATGTGATTTTCTTTATTTTTTATCTATCTCATTATCGTTTATTTCGATGTTTTCAAGTTGAATGATAAGCCGAGAGAGGGCGATCCAAACGCATTGATTGCAGTTTTCCCTTCCAACTGTAGAAAAGTTATTAAGAAATTCGCGAAAAACTAATGCTGTGGATCTACTTTTAGAAACAAATCACAATTGAAAATTAAAATTAATTTCAGATGGTGTAGTGCGATGAAAATTGTCATCAGCAGTCTGTAATGTCTCTAAACATTTATAGGTAGTCTGTAATGTCTCTAAACGTTTATACGTAGTCTGTAATATCTCTAAACGTTTATAAGTAGTCTGTAATGTCTCTAAACGTTTATAAGTAGTCTGTAATGTCTCTAAACATTTATAAGTAGTCTGTAATGTCTCTAAACGTTTATAAGTAGTCTGTAATATCTCTAAACGTTTATAAGTAGTCTGTAATGTCTCTAAACGTTTATAAGTAGTCTGCAATGTCTTTAAACGTTTATAAGTAGTCTGTAATGTCTTTAAACGTTTATAAGTAGTCTGTAATTTCTTTAAATGTTTATAGGTAGTCTGTAATAGCTCTAAACGTTTATAAGTAGCCTGTAATGTCTCTAAACGTTTATAAGTAGTCTGTAATGTCTCTAAACGTTTATAAGTAGTCTGTAATGTCTCTAAACGCTTATAAATAGACGAAACTCTTTTGAATCATTACCTGCTACATAATTCCCTTTTAAACAACTAAACATCTGAAAGTTGAAATCTTTATTAAATGGTAAGTTAAAATTATAACACATAATTCCTCAATAGTATGGAAAGTAAATTTCAGATTTGGACAACTTTTTATATCTTCGCAGGGCATAAATATTCATTGGAACACTTTTAATTTGACGCTACAAGATTTTCTTTTCATATCTTCAAATAATGTCATAAACACACAGTAAATAAATCTAAAACTTACATTTCAGTAAATGTCATGAAACTATATTTACATATTGATATAGACTGCTTATAAATTTTAGCCTTACATTTCAGAGAATGTCATGAAACTATATTTACACATTGACATAGATTACTTATAAGCCTTACTTTCACATCTTAGTAAATGTCGTGAAACTATATTTACATACTGACATAGATTACTTATAAGCCTTACTTTCACATCTTAGTAAATGTCATGAAACTATATTTACATACTGACACAGATTACTTATAAGCCTTACTTTCACATCTTAGTAAATGTCATGATACTATATTTACATACTGACATAGATTACTTATAAACCTTACTTTCACATCTTAGTAAATGTCATGAAACTAGGCTTATGTATGGACATAAACTGCTCCTTCTTCCATTATTTTAAACTATCTTGTTGAACATAATGTTAAATATAATGATTTTATGCATAAAACAGCAACAAGAATATTAAGCAATTATTCTTTGGATGTTTCGAAAGTTTGAAAATCAATATCTATTCCTTCTGAGGGTAAATAGATTGGATTGGCTTTCTTTTTTAATATCATTAGGATTTCATTTGTAGTACATATTATATTTGACGTTTGAAACACATCTACAGTTTGTTAGAAGAAGCTCTAAGCGATCTGTAGGACATAACTGTTTGGTTTATTTGGAGGTTCGCGCAAAGCTACACGAGGGCAATCTGCGCTAGCCGTCCCTAATTTAGTAGTGAAAGACTAGAGGGAAGGCAGCTAGTCAACAACACCCACCGCCAATTCTTGGGCCACTCTTTTACCAACAAATAGTGGGATTAACCGTCACTATATAACGCCTCCACGACTGAAAGGGCGAGCACGTTTGGTCGGACGCAGATTCGAACCCGCGATCCGCAGATTGCGTGTCGAGCGCCCTAACAGCCTGTGTTGAACTTGCACTACTACGTAACATTGCATTGAAACTACCTATCATCTTCTCACTATATAGATAACTCGGTTAAAATCTTGCACTAATACGTAACATTGCATTGAAACTACCTATCATCTTCTCACTATATAGATAACTCGGTTAAAATTTTGCACTAATACGTAACATTACATTGAAACTACCTATCATCTTCTCAATATATAGATAACTCGGCTAAAATCTTGCACTAATACGTAACATTACATTGAAACTTTATCATCTTCTTACTATATAGATAACTCGGTTAAAAAGAAAGGAAAAAATAGACAGCGTATCAGTGGTTTGGAAGCACACAACTAGATTTCAAACTCACACATATAAAAAAGAAAGAAACTAGTTAAATTGTATTGTTTTGTTCGGGAAAGATACACGATATCCTGTTACGTCCTCGCACATGTATATGTGTATTGTCTGGTTGCTTCCTTAACGTAAAGACATTTAACATCTAGCCACATTCCGTATTCATGTGAAGATATGTAATGTTTCTCTACTTCCCTTAACTTGATGTTAAGTAATTTTTAGATACTTCTCATTATTTGAAGGTACGTAATATTTGGCTACTTCCCCAAGTTTGTGAAAATACGTAATTCCTAATAATTTCATTACGTGAAAATATGCAGAACATAATAACTTCTTTAACAAGAACGCGTGTAATTATCTGTTTTTTTATTATGTTTTTACGTAAGTAAAATATTTTAAGGAAATACAATGATAAGTTTATTTCAAAAATAATATTGAAAGCAATCATAATTACAATATTTGAGTTAATTATATAAGATTTTGAAAAGCATCTTTAGCCATCACAACTTAGCTTCAGTGTTAAACGTGTTGTGTTAAAAAATCCAAACATATTTTATGTTTCAGTCGAGCTATTAATCAGGTTTTATCCATTCAGAAGTAATTCTTAACGATTTTGTGTGACCTTTCTAATGAAACCATTAAAAACTAGTAATGCTTACATGATTTAGAAACCACTGATAACTTTATGTTCTAATTTCAGAACAAACCAAGAAAATAAAAGGAAACTTTGTAGTTTTCGAAGAATGGAAGTGCACCCAACAGAGTATAACATTTCTTTGTACGGCTGTAATGCTGTGAGAATATCGATCAGTCGTCAAAATGTAACTTCGCGAGCCTTGGAACCAATCGCCTTGTTCGTTCCGGCTTTCTGAGGCAATATTGGATTTCAAATGACCCATCCATCTCATGTCATTTCGGCATACAGATGGATTGTTTTAGGTTTGATCGATTGGGTAAGGTCAAGTGTATTTTTGAGTACAAAATATATTTTAGGTAAATAAATCATCTTTTGCAGTACTTTAGAAATGAAACAATATATTTTAGTTGTAAGAGATTTAAACATAAAAAAACAACAAAAAACTATAACATAATAAACCAATAACATATTCTGGATAAGTTAGGAAGAAACTGTCATATTTTATTGGATCAATAAGTATTGGATATTTTCTATAACTGGTCGAATGTGTTTTAAAATTATAGCAAAAAATGAATACCAACATGCTAATATCCACTTAGAAGAACATATCTCAGTTTAAAACCCTGAAACTTGTAACAGTTAAAATGAATGCCAACATGCTAATATCCACTTGGAAGAACATATCTCAGTTTAAAACCTGAAACTTGTAACAGTTAAAATGAATACCAACATGCTAATATCCACTTAGAAGAACATATCTCAGTTTAAAACCTGAAACTTGTAACAGTTAAAATGAATACCAACATGCTAATATCCACTTGGAAGAACACATCTCAGTTTAAAACCTGAAACTTGTAACAGTTACCTATAACTTAGCGAGAATTCAATTGTATTGTGTTTCGATGAAAATGTGTTTAATGTTTGATGTGTTTAAATGAAACGTCGTTAAGATCTTAAGAAAGATAAAAAGACAATATTTTACTGTATTATACAAATAGATATTCTGTTTTTCTAGTTTGATTAAGAGATTATCACGTATTTTTAGCCCTTTTCGGAAACTAAAGAAAAACCTGGGAATCTAAATTTAAAATGAGTTAAAATGTAAAAAGTACAAAAATTTATAAAAATATATATCAACAATTTAATTACAAAATAATTTCCTTAAAGGTATTGCATCTTAATAAAAACACTGAAAATAATGCACTATTTAAGTTTCAAGTAAAACGTTTACCAGTCTTCTTATGGTAAAACATTTGGCATAAATTGCACTGAAAATAATGCACTATTTAAGTTTCAGCACTATTTAAATTTCAAGTAAAACGTATACCAGTCTTCTTATGGTAAAACATTTGGCATAAATTGCACTGAAAATAATGCACTATTTAAGTTTCAGCACTATTTAAATTTCAAGTAAAACGTATACCAGTCTTCTTATGGTAAAACATTTGGCATAAATTGCACTGAAAATAATGCACTATTTAAGTTTCAGCACTATTTAAATTTCAAGTAAAACGTTTACCAGTCTTCTTATGGTAAAACATCTGGCATAAATTGTTTACTATCGTGTCTGTTTAAAAAACCTAACACTCATGAGCTATTAGTAGCATGCTTTCGAATGTCAACAGACACAGAAAACATCTGTTTATTCATGACGTCATAAAATAGTTAAAATATTTGAATTGTCATCGGTTCTTAGTTTTTGTAACCAAACTTTACTGTTACAGTAACACATAAAGACATGAAATGATAGAGAGAGAAGTAAAACATTTTACTTGGAAATAAACAGGCATATGACGATTTTGTTATAAGGTTATTTGTTTTTTATTTAGTCCCGAGGCTGCTTACGACCATTGGGGCACCTTATATGCTAATGCATCATCTGTAATTCTGGGCAGATTTACCTGGTGGCGCCATCACCTCCTCTACAGGTAGCTGTCCCTAATTTAGCAATGAAAGACTAGAGGGAATGCAGCTAGCTAACACTAATGACCGCCAACTACTTTTTACTAACGAATAGTGGGATAGACCGTCACGTTATAATGCCTCCATGGCTAAAAGGCGAGCATGTTCGGTGACGGTGATTCGAACCTGCGACCCGCAAATTGCGATTCGAGCGCTATAACCAATAGACCATGCCAGGCCTCATTATAGGGTCACAACTGAAAATACACATATACATACTTGGCGCTGTTTATGCTTAATAATCCTTCTGTTTCTTTCTTTTGTTGTGAAGCATAAAGCTACATCATGGACTGCCTGTGCTATATCCACGTGGGTATCAAAATCCGACTTTTAGTATTATAACCCAATAGACTTACCGATGAGCCACCGGGAGAGGGGAGTGCAGGAAATATTTAACTGAACTGAACATATTTTTGTGTTTATAGTGCTTGCTTTCCACAGTTTTTAAGTATTTGTTTTTAAGAATAATACCCTTTTTTATGCACACTGGCGATTAGAAATGGATTTTATCGTATCGCTAAAATAACGTAAGAGAGGGATTACTTGTGATGGTGGAATAATCTATTCGAAATAATGAAATATTCGAAGATTATTCTAGTTTTTATACCATAATCAAGGTCATTGTGTCGAAAAACTTTGAAAAGTTCGTTCTGAAGACGACCAAATCTTGAATTTTGTCCATTCTAGTAAATGTATACATATAAAAGTATAATGTTGATGTATATGAATATAGGAAGCTCTGGTAAGGTGGAAATATATGATGTTTTCATGCTCATTATATATGTATATGGTGTTTTCTTAAGATTATATATCAAAAACACAATAAGAAGAAAAATAAATAAAAACCAACAATTCCTGGGTTATAAGAAGAGTTCAAGATATAAAACAAAACAATTATCAGACAAATTACACAGGCCTGCGAATTTAAACTTCATAAAAGTTGTTTTGGTTTTAATAACGGTTTTCAAAAAGCAGATTTCAAAAATAATATTCATCTTTTTCTATCACGTGAGTATTTTTTACCGATCGGGAAGTAAAAAAACTATTACTTAGATGAAGTTATTATTTCGTTTACCACAGTGAACACTTTTTATCATGATATTTGTTATATTTGGGTTCTAGAACGCTCGATAAGATTCTCACGTCGCGATTGGTCTAGAGAAATCTATAGCCAGTGGTTGTCAACATTTTTAGCATAAGAAAATGTGACCCGATTTCAATGAAAATGATTCACTTATATAAAAGTACATATGACGTTTTGTGAAAAATATGTACGTGATGGCGAAAAATGGATATCATTTTCGGATTCAACGTACAGGGATTACTGTAGAACATGTAAAAATTTCAAGACAATAAAACCATCGCAGGCTTGTGTTAGTGTTAGTTTTTTGTGAGGATGGGTGTAATAAAGTTTTTTTATCTTACATTTCTTCCGAGGTGAGAAGTATGAGGTGGATTTTTATTGGAAGTGATACATAATTGAAGTGTGAATTCACGTTTCATAACTATACGAATCTTCTTGTTTATCCACCCTATTACTTCTTAAACCACATTGGTGCACATAGACTCTACAAAATCAATCTGTAATTTCAAGAATTTGCCATTAAAATGCTAAGTATATGCAAATTTCTAAAATCGATAACAAAAAAGCTAATAATTTTACTAAGCTACTCCTTAAAATTAAGTTCAAATTTCCCCCAAAATCCAGTTGCATATTCTAAAGTACGTCTACAATTTACAAGTATTCACCAGTGGTAACTAAATTGTACGGATGTTATTAATTATGCGCAGTTGTAATATTAATTTAGACATTATTTGAAACTATCAGATTCAGTGAAGAGTTCACTAAAAAGTAACGTTAATGAAAAATAAAGTATAGTTAATGGGCAACGAAAAGTTTCGGAAACATTTTTATTATGTTCGTGAAATTTGATATTCAGACTTTATTGTTGAACATAAACTTAAAAGAAATGTTTTCTAGAAAATGAGACCCATAGATGAATACAAAGAGTAAAGAGATAATAACAATGACATCAGAGAAAACCCAAACAGGAATACCGCACTGATGCCTTAAAAGCAGACCTCTACATTATATTCTTTTATTCTTCTAGATTTGCAGTGCATTAGCACTAAACAAAATTCTTGTTACTTGAAATACAGATGCTGCCCCTCCCTTTCTCTGAATCTGAAGTGCATCTTCGCGATGTCCATTAAAAGTTCCATAGTAACAGCTGAAAGCTCAGGCCTGAAACATAGCTCGATTCCATATTGATTCTGGAACGTGTTCACGAATCCGTTACTCGAAAAGTTTTCAATTTGAACAGAATTGAAAGAACTTCGCACTTTAAAAAATGTAATTATCGTGAATCAATAGCTTTAACAAATTAAGAACTTGATCAATGATATTATTCCATTGACTCATTCGTGTAGTTTGTAATACATGTAAGCCTAAGGGCTACATTGAGTACTCTCTATATGAGAATTGAGAAAGTATAAGAAAAAAATCCATTTGAGTATAAAATTTCTCTTGAGATTATTGTTATATATAGTCTTTATCAGGTTTACATTGAACTAATTAAAGGTAAAAATTGAAACTTGTAATTTGAATTTTTTCTACTTAAATGTTAGAGAATGGGTGCAATTTTTAACATAGAAATGACAGTTGAAAAAAAAGAAGAAAAAAAAAAGAGAAATAAAATACAGAATTATTCTATAGCTTCCAGTCTGGTCCTATAACATTTTATTAGTGTTATTTGATGACTGCATCTCCTTATCAGATGTTCTGTAAATGGTCATTTAAAACAACGACAGTAAAATATTCAAAACGAAACGTTCTTGTAGTCGTATTAAATCAACTAATCAAATTATATTGTTGATGACAGGAATATTATTTTATGGAAAGTCACACAACTTGTGTTAAGTACAATCATATATTTATTTTTAGGCTAACAAAAATCTGTATGATAACGTCGATAATATTATATAAGTTTCAAGAAACTGCATTCATGTCCCAAAACAATTATCATTTAAAAGTCTCGTAACAGAAAGAGAACAAAAGTGTACTGGAAGGTATTTAACTTCTGGGATAATATTTAAATCAAATAAGAACACTTTTTATCAGGAGATTTAAAAACAACAGTAACAGTTTAGAATTAAATTTTTCAGTGCAGTCTAAAAAATCGTATTCCTGTTCTTCCAGATTTTAGAAAAAAATTTCTTGTCGACTAGTTGAGATGATAATCTTAAAACCATCGGTTGATTTTTTACTACAGCTAGGTAATAGTGCCATTCAGAAAGTTTAATCAGATTTCCACTTTAAGAGAACTTAAATATATCTTCCTACCTATGATGAAA